TTACAAGCACTTTAAATACATTTCCGTACATGTTTCCCGTTTTACGATGGTTGTAAACAACACCCCTGTTTGTTGCTATTCGGCACAAAACCTTAATCATTCATTAGATGCACAAGCTCAATACCTGCTTCCATTAGTATTATATTTACAACAAGCTCTGTTCACTTGTGAAAAATAACAAAACAACGCAACTATGATGTGGTGAAAACCTTCTTTTATGTGTTCTCTAAAGTATAACTGAGAGACCTTGACTTTACCGCAGTCTGAGGTATACTATTTTTGTCCATTCCTGGTTATGCACGAGTGCACCATTTACCGTCTACCTTCATTTACCTTATGTTAGTAGGTTGGTTGTCAGGTTTTCTGTCCCCGTGACTCCTCGCGCGTCCTGGTATCGTCTCACCGACGAACATTAGTATTCTGGCAATGTCGGGGGGCGACCTGCATCCCCCTCAGTGGGATGGAACCGTCTGTAGCGGTGATCGTTTGGTTAGACTAATTTTAGAAGACGGCTCTAGGGCCTGATAATGTATTATCCAAACTCTGAAAGGAAGGGTTGGGGGCTAATTTGGTTTGTGTTAGGGTAATTTTGAAGTCCGTCTGATGTCTTTAAAATAATTATGATGTCTGACACCGTTTGGCATGCTTAGGTGTGATAACGCGTACTACTGAGGTTAAATCATTTCAACTATCACCAATGATAAATGACATACACTGTAGCATCGAAACACCGACAAAACCATTATTGCAGTCAAAAAAATAGCTACCGCTTCTAACCGTTCCTTTACCCCAAATTCAAAGACCAATTCAGACCGGGTGTGAGTAAATGAAATCAGGGATCCTGATCGCTTGTTAATCCAACTATCTCCAAGGAAGGTTTTGGGAAGCTTTGAGAATCGGAAGGGTTTGGATATCTCCTCTGCTAAGCGTGGCAGTCACCGAGTACACTTTGCTTTTGAAGAATGTCAAGTGTGTCTAGAGAAAAACATAAACACGACGAAAAAAAGAAAGCAAACAAAAACATACCCCCTCAATTATCATTATTATTATATTTATCTACAAATATTTCAGAGTTATCTTCCTTTGACTGCAAGAGAGACTTCACCCAAACTGTTGGAGGAGAGAGATGCCGCGTAGCCCGAACTGACGACTGGACTACTAACCCCTAACGTCATTAAGACTTCGAATAACGAAACACTTTTTTATCAATCTTTCTCCAGAGACGGTTGGGTGGAAATTAAAACTATGTAGAAATCTGTTTTTTATTTTCCCTCCGCTGTATGCGTTATCATTCTCTTAGTAGTGGTACCTTTTTTCACACGCATTTATGTTCCTCAGATTTATCCGATATCTCGAATGTACACGATTTTTTGTGCTTGAGATTAAGAAAAGGACTATTTTGTAATTCCTATTTCACTTAGCCGAAAAAAATGTGAAGCCAAAGGAAATATGTCCCGTGTCGGTGTTCTTCTTCAAAGTTCTCCTCTGTGATCTCCCTTTCAGTAGCACGTGTTTGGGCCTATGATCTTCCTTTCAGTAGCACGTGTTTGGGCCTATGATCTTCCTTTCAGTAGCACGTGTTTGGGCCTATGATCTCCCTTTCAGTAGCACGTGTTTGGGCCTATGATCTCCCTTTCAGTAGCACGTGTTTGGGCCTATGATCTCCCTTTCAGTAGCACGTGTTTGGGCCTATGATCTCCCTTTCAGTAGCACGTGTTTGGGCCTATGATCTCCCTTTCAGTAGCACGTGTTTGGGCCTATGCCTATGATCTCCCTTTCAGTAGCACGTGTTTGGGCCTATGATCTCCCTTTCAGTAGCACGTGTTTGGGCCTATGATCTCCCTTTCAGTAGCACGTGTTTGGGCCTATGATCTCCCTTTCAGTAGCACGTGTTTGGGCCTATGATCTCCCTTTCAGTAGCACGTGTTTGGGCCTATGATCTCCCTTTCAGTAGCACGTGTTTGGGCCTATGATCTCCCTTTCAGTAGCACGTGTTTGGGCCTATGATCTCCCTTTCAGTAGCACGTGTTTGGGCCTATGATCTCCCTTTCAGTAGCACGTGTTTGGGCCTATGATCTCCCTTTCAGTAGCACGTGTTTGGGCCTATGATCTCCCTTTCAGTAGCACGTGTTTGGGCCTATGATCTCCCTTTCAGTAGCACGTGTTTGGGCCTATGATCTCCCTTTCAGTAGCACGTGTTTGGGCCTATGATCTCCCTTTCAGTAGCACGTGTTTGGGCCGATTCTGGCCGGTTTTCACACTTGTTTTCTGCATTTCCAACATTCTGGCCCCTATCATCACTAAAGAATCTGTGGATCACAGCAGCTATTAGTGTATAATACTGTTTCAACAAGCCTTTTGTATAGTCATGCACAGACAGACCACAGGGATTTGTCTACCTGATTATTTCCATCTACATTTCCGAATTCGTCAGGTCATTACTTTGTTTACACTTAGCCAATCTCGTTCATCAAACATTCATTGGAAAGATAAAACATTTCTCTTCAAGGAAACACATATATATATTACTAAGATCTGCAACCCCTAGAAAAAGCATAATTGAAAAACAATGTGTTTTTCCTTCTCGGGAGTTACACTGCTATCACTATAATACATATGTATGGACCGTAGGTCGGGAATTCGTGCTAAATCCCTGTATCTTCAATCTGCAGTAGTTCGATATTGAAACAATCGTCCCCGATATCACGATTTCCTTGAAAGATGCCGACATCTGACTGATCAACTACCAACGCAAGGTTTCAGGAGATGCTGGCGGAGACTATAGGGAAGGTTTGTCGACGCCATCATGATCTCATTGAGAAATGTGCTATTTTCTCGATTGATATGAAGTTGGATGTGTATGATGTCCGTCAGAGTATTTTGTACTCTTATACTCAATTCAGAACACGTGGCACCGGCGGATGTCGTGGATAAAACAGATGTTTACCCTTGTGGAACACCTGGCCTCATTCTCTTGTACTTTTTAAGGTCCTCCGTGTAAATCCTTTAAGCTTCTTTTGTCCTCGTTTATGTGTAGATGTCGGAGGTATGTAGTCTTAAGTATTCTTTTTGAAAATTACCGACCGCCAACTAATTTCTCTTACCTAATACCGAAAGTAAAGTGGCATTTTCTGTCTAAAAACAAATCAAAACGGACATATTATTTAAAAAAAAATTTTAAATGTCAATAGGACGTAATTCTCAGCCCGTCGGCTGTCAATCTTACCTCTATACCACCTGATAGAGTTAAACAAAGGGAAGTAACTCTAGGAGATCAGAATGATGCAAACCAAAAGTGGGTCGAAGTGAAAATGACACTGTATGTACCAATTTGTCGAGAAGCTCCCAGGGGCGGGACAGATATGATGGGACGGACGGATATTGTCAACACTATGTGTCCCCAGAAAGTGGCAGGGACATCAAAAACAATTAATAAAACGCGATTCGAAAGTGATCTGTGCTACAAAACAACTACCATATATTTCATTGAATAAACATTAATTCAAAGTCACCTTGATAACAAAACCAATATCTTCGGGGTATTGTAATAAGTTGTTTACGCTTTTTGTTGAATGACAGGTTTTCAGCAAAAACATTTAAGAAACTGAAGCCAAATTTATCTCTAAATATGCATTTGATAGATTTACAATAATACAGAATACTTCATGTTAAACTAACATCAAGTTGTAACATTGTGTAGACTGTTACATATCAAAACAAATGACATCATGGGTATCTCATGGTCACATAATATATTTTGAAGGACTTCTTCTGAAGAACCATAAGGTCTAGAGTCGTCATACTTGGTAAGTTGCTATTATAGGATGAATGGCTATTCAGTTTTTTACCCATGTTATCTAGACACTTACTCCAGGGTGAAGTTAGTCATATGAAAATTTTTCATTATTTCACTTCCAGGAAGTTAGTGACCCAATCTTAGGTTATGTTGACTGTAATTCAAAAAAACGATAATGCTCCTATACCTTAATCTAATGACCTTGACCATGTTCAAGGTCACCAGTGTAAAGAGAGCTACACTATCAATACAGAACTACACTTCTAAGCTTGCTGGGATGAAGTTCGATCAAATTTGTTTAGATAAATCACTTCGACCCATGTTGGATCTCTTGGGAGCCAAACGTATTGATTTTTTTTATCACTTTTCCTAACTGACCACAGAACCTAGCAAAATGATCTGTAGCTTTCATAAACATTTTGTAATGGTCACTAATGTCATTCAATTACAGAGAACATCCAAAGTTTTCAATCTCCATATACATAACCATCATTATTCTCTTTCCTGAGGATCTACAAAACATCTGATATAAACTGGGAGAGAAACCATATATATATATTGGCGCTTCATTTGAAATTGAATGAAAGTCTTGGAGAGTTTTTTTTGGTGTGTTTGTGAGAGCCTGGCATGAAATCTCATCAATTGAAAACAAATTTTAAATACTTTGTATCACAAAACTCAATAAAAGTTACATTCTGACATATTTTAAAGTCAAATATGGATCCATTTTTGTTTTGTCATTTTCAATTCATGACCTAATATGTTATTGTCCATATCATGTCATCAAATAGATTTCTGACAGATGCAGCCACTGGAAAAACTGCAAGGTATATTACACTACTGACATGCAAAAATATTACATGTACAAAATCACTGAACAGGTGGGTTATGTGATTAACATATTTATCTTTTCAATTTGTTTATTTCCAAGGCTTTGACAAAAGAATAAATCTCAAATCTTATAAAACAGATCAAGAGAGTAAAAAAAAAGTATGAACACTGTATGAATATAATTGGTGACATTTTATTTCAACAGAAAATACAGGTAAATAAATACAGGTAGACACAGTGTACTACACCGTTCTTTTAACTCGGAGTAAACATATTAATTTTATTTTTTCATTTTTTAGTTATAAGTTATAAAGAAATGGACAAAAAACAAATGTAATGAGACACACTTACAACTACAATGTATGTTGTCACTTTTTGTTACCATCAAATAAAGCAATATTTTGAATACTTATCACAGCTGGTTTGGGACTTGTTTCATGCAAAATTATAAAAATATATAAAGATGTATACAGTTATTAGAGATTTTCATAATATTTAACGATAACTCCACTTACTTGTTCTGCTGCTCCCACAAAATATTTCTGTAAAAATTGTAAATGAAAGGGACGGCTTTTCTCTATATAGTTTAGTACATACTTTTGTGACATATTCTCCTGTTTTTTCATATTCATTTGACAGCAGTTTTACAGAAAAAATTTATATTTGGCAAAAAGAAACTGCCATTAACAGTTAAAATATCATGAAATAAGAATTTCAGTGTTCCAACTACACTTGTTTTCGACAGCTAGGTGCAAACGTATGCAAAATGTTTGTCAGTTGCAGGGTTTTTCAGAAAAATATAAAATACAATTTATTTTCAATTTTCACAATTCTCTTTTTATCTGTACATTATATCAGATCCATCATCAGTCTAACTATTTACACTGACAATTACTTTGCTGTCCTTGTTTCACAAAAATGCCATATTGATGATGGAAGAATGTTTTCATTTTCACATTTTCATTTTGGTTTTCATCCAAGTGTCTTCTCATTTCAACACTACTCTGTCTAAAAGACTGAAAAATTCAGTATTGTCAATCCATATTTTTAAAGTTTGTTTCTGTTTCACTTTCTACTGATGTGAATCTTTTTTACACCATGCCAGGTTTGGCATACATTGGTAGATGGTAATAGTTGTAACTTATAAAACTGAGAAGTCTGGTTTCTACAGCACGCTTTGCTCCACTGGTTCGGTACATCTCTAACAGTTCCGTTTTCTGACTCTCGTTCATCTGGAGATACAAAAGTTTTACATTAATGTCTTCATCCCTTCTCAAAACATTGAAGTGTTTGTCAGCTCGTTAATTCTTTCTTCATAAATGAATATAATTTAATAGAATGCAACTGACTGCTGTGACAAAGTTATTACATAAATCCTCAACAAAATTTCTGTATCTGATAGAAGAATGTTGTGGTGTTTGAATTGATAAATGTTATTTAAGACTTTATTTTCCTGTTAGACCTTTTATAACCTTACATTTTCACCATCCTTGAACAACACTTTACACATAGGAAGGTCTTTTTATCCAACTCTCTATATCATACATATTCTGACAGAATCAACAATAGCCACTGAACCAGCAGAGAATATGTTCTAATGTAGATCAACCTTTAGATATTTTTATTTTAAACATTTATCTGTCATGAAACTGATACACAAGTGCTATTTTCGTAATGAAAATTTTTAAATAAGTCTGAATAATAACAGACAAATTGCAGCAATTTTAGATTCCAGAACAGATCAAAATCCGGATTTTTTTTTTCATTTGACATATTTCGAACCCTCAGGGTTCCTTCAATCATTTCAGAAGGGAGTTCGAGTAAATAATATTCATGTACATATATGATGCCCTGCAATCGATCAAGATACTTACAGCAACATCCTCATCCACCACCTGTCGTACGCGTTCTTCAACTGACTCTTGTCCGGGGCCCTATAAAATAGTCATCCCATCATGATTTCATATCTTAAAAACTGACATTTTATTTGTATAATAAAGAAAACAGACTGTTAAAATACTAAATAGTAACCATCATTCAAGTCATGGTGAAGAGTCAAGCTGAAATTTTATTTACTTTTGAGACAAGACCAAGTCTTTCTGTTATACAGACGTATCTATAAATAGGAATTTTGTATATCTCAAAGATTTAACTTTGAAAGATCCTTTAACTGACATGGAAAGGCAATTTTAACAGGTCAAATCTTTGCTCTACTGTGAGAAACATTTTATTTTCTGTGATGTGTTAAAGCTTGATGATACTTACTGGACTAGTAATAAGGAGTTCTCGTACTTCATCTCGGAAATCTGCGAATCTGTCGTGATATACAGCCAGGCACCACTTCTCCATGAAATAGCTGCAGTGTATTTTAAAAGAACATTGTAAAATAATTTTTAGAAATTGGAAACTTGATAAGTTAGCCATCTTGAAACCAAGCATCAGTAACTTGTTCTTTGAATGCTGGATAAGTGGGACACTTTATTCCAGGTCAGTGTGTCAGTATAACATTGGCTGGACCTAAATTGTTTACTGGATTAACACACTCAAAACAAATAATTTTTTGTGATTTGCCTCGGCCAGGATTAACAAATTTCCACATAACAATCATCTAAAGATGCAACATGTTTCTTTAAAATCATATATTTTCATGATACTTAAATTTTGTGGTTTTATAAAATGTGCATTTTCGTTGGCACTTGATTTCGTTGATAAATCTACTTGTACTATAATCCATGTTTCTCATCTGTTTTCCTGGATTAACCACAAATTCTACAAAAATAAAACCTCGACAAAATATAATGATTCTACAGAAACTACACAAAATCGATCAACAACAAAATATTATTTATGTAAGAGACACTAGTATTATCTGGACATATCGGAACAAGAAACGTGACAGCATTCACTGCCAGACTTTTGAATCTGAGAAGGATCTTTATACACACCCAATGAAATCTTTGATCAAGCCCTCGTTAAACCTCGAGACCAAATTGCTGAGGCTTCTCTCATGCAGTCCATACAGGCAGTTGAAATTGCTGCTCGGAATCGGCTGAAAAATAAAAATATAACTGAAACATAATGTCTGTTCACGCTTAAAAACTTCAATAGGACCCTAAATAAAGATCAAATCGTCACATCAAAGAAATATACGCATATTTACAGAATTAGGGACAAAATATGCCCATATTCAAACTTTGAAGAAGAAAATGTTTCTGTATTCAGACACATCAATAGAATATGCCGATATTCATTCATGTCAGAATGTGCCAATACACAAAGAACGAAATATTCAGTCGGACATCCAAATGTTATTACACCTCAAACAAAATCTGATCACATATTTATTTAAAAAAAAATAATTCAATACTGCATCTTTAATGTAAAAATATGATTATTTAAAAGTTGACTTTCCTACTGATTAACTCATAGACTGAAAAAACATAGAAATTTTAAACTAAGGTTTTACATTAAGGAATCTGTGTTTAACACATTAACATAATGTTTTCTTATGTCAATGGTTGAGCTTTTAACAAGAGTCACTACACCAGTGAATATTTGTTTCAAAAGTGAGTTGACTGAACGAGCAAACAAATTTGCCATTAGACATAAAAATACCTGTGGTAGACATGAAAGCATATCAATGAATTTGTTGTTGTTTGTGATCAAAATAAACTGGCCGTTTGTAGATTTTAAACATCTTTTCTCTTTTAAGACTTTGCTTTGTTATTTTCAATCAGAAGTCTATGTGCATGGTAACACAAGGTAAACCTATTACAGTATATGAAATAGAGAACTGGACAATATTCTCAGAAGTATCAGGACTTGGATCTTTTTCTGTTGTATCTATTACATCATAGATTAGAATTTTAATAAAGAAATAATGAAAGAAAGAAAAAAAATAGCAAAACCACAGTGAAACTTTGTTTTACTTCAATAACTAATTAGAGATGTATTTTTTTAGGCTTAAAGAAAATAAGTTCCTACCATATAAGGCTGATACAGAATTTTACTTTCCATTGATAAGAACATTAAAAGGAACGCTTCTTTAAACTGTAATGGCAGGAAAGTGCACAGTAATGAAGATTCCAAATTACATGAGAGAAAAAAAAGAGAACTTATTTTGTGTTAAAGATCTATCTTCCCATAGGTTTAGATTTTATCTAATGATGTTTAAGTTTTGTTTGTTTAGGACTTTGTAAGCAGATTACAGTGAATTGCAAATCAAGATGGCATCCAAAGACATTGGGGACACTTTAGGGCAAATTTAAAATGACATTGTAATAAAAAAAATGTTTGATTCTAGTGTAGCATAGAAAATGAACATTTTAAAATCTTTGTTGGGAGAACCTCGTATTTTTGGTTCCTCATAGACAGCTAGTTCTGTTACAATAGATTTTAACACAGTTGCCTACAATGAAGTTGGCTGGAGTTTGATTTTCTTGGTTGGATATGAAATAAGGTTATTTTTTGTGGGAAGGTTCATGGGTTTTTTTCCTATACAATATCAACTTTTGATGTTATCAGTATGATGTCATCAGTATGATGTCAGTATGATGTCGTCAGTATGATGACCTCCGTATGATGTCATGATGTCGTCAGTATGATTTCGTCAGTATGATGTCATCAGTATGATGTCATCAGTACGATGTCGTCAGTATGATGTCAGTATGATGTCTGTATGATGTCGTCAGTATGTCATCAGTATGATGACGTCAGTATGATGTCGTTGGTATGATGTCATCAGTATGATGTCGTCTGTGTGATGTCGTCAGTATGATGTCATCAGTATGATGTCCTCAGTATGATGTTGTCAGTATGATGTCGTCAGTATGATGTCCTCAGTATGATGTCATGATGTCATCAGTATGATGTCGTCAGTATGATGTCATCAGTATGATGTTGTCAGTACGATGTCCTCAGTACGATGTCGTCAGTACGATGTCATCAGTATGATGTCCTCAGTATGATGTCGTCAGTATGATGTCGTCGGTATGATGTCATCAGCATGATGTTGTCTGTGTGATGTCGTCAGTATGATGTCATCAGTATGATGTTATGGTTAATCCCAAGGCAAGGTTTAGTAGGAGTGCACAAATTACATCTCCTACCTCTGATAGGCACTTTTGTAGTTCCATCACAATGAAATATCATCATCCTCACAAAGTAGCAATGACACTATACCCTGTCACATGTACTGACTACAATAGACTAACATATACCATATATCATCCATTTCAGCTGAACATCAGGCACAGAGCAGACAGTTTGCATTCAAGGAATTCCAAACCATTATGTTCTTATATCAGGCAGGATTGAAAATTGAAACAATAAAACTGCGAAAGCAAGAACATTACTGAGTTAAAGTGTTAACAATCATTTGTTTTACTGAAATGATGACAAGGTCAACAATGTGATGATATTAAATCAATATACAAGTTTCTGCTGATTTCATGCATTAAATAAATCAAAAAGTGTTTAATTATATCAGGGCCTCAACACCTGTAATATTCTGCTGTATACGACTTCAAGCTTTCTTATAAAACATTAACCTATCTGGCACAAACAGGACCCATATCTAAACCATTAAGAAAGTTCAAATACTCTGAATAACTGAGAATGTATCTACATATATATCAAAAACAACTAGAAAGTAGATCAAATACCTAATAATACTGCTTAGCGAGTTTAAGCTCCTTAAGTGTCCTACAAAAAGCTGTTTTTATCATTAATACTTCGTCCTAACTGTCCCCCAGAGATGGTAATCCACAGTCTTAACTCTTCTTCAGAAATGGAATTCCGTCTAAAATTATCTTTTTTCACGGCATCACTGACATCATGTCAAAAGAAATTTGTACTATAGATATAAAGCAAAGAAATTTTATCATTTCTCCTTCCCCCGGAGAAATGGTCTTCCTACCTCTCTAATTTCCAAAGAAAAAAAAAGCTATATGTGATTACTTTTGTAAAAATAACACTTTTTTTTTTTTTTACCTGAAAGCTTTGCAAAAAAAATTTTTTTAAGGAGACACAAGATTAATGTCATTCGGATGTGAATTTATTAATCAGCACACCAGTCAATATTTACTATTAATTACACAAAGATACTACCCAGTTCAATTTCTTTAGTTTTAAAGAAAAAGACATTTTATTAGGTAAATGAAAATGTTTTTACAATGAAAAATTAGTTCAAGAGCAGTAACTCTTTGTTTACCAAACACTAAAAAAAAAATTGTGTTTATCAGTAAAACCAACATCATCCAATTTCCATCATACAAAAAAGGCTTTGATATAATAACGGTATGGATGCTTGGTAGACTTGATAGAAGTCCGTTGTTCATAGGCTTTTAAATGAAGACAGACGTGAGAGAATTTCTAAAAATAAAATATAATATCTTCTGTCAATTATTTTGTTTTTATTCCTAGAAGCCATGAAATAAACAATGGTTTTCTCTATTGTTATTTTCATTTTTAAGGTGTCTACTTTTCATGATTGTGCAACCTCCTCAAAAATAGCCTAAAAAACAGAACTACTGGAAAAAAACCTTGACAACACATATCGCACCACAATCTCCAAATTAATCATGTTGAAAAAATTTTTTAAATGTACATTGTTTTTCTATTTAGTTCTCCAAGATATTTATAATTGAAATATATCAATTATCCCAAAAGATACATGCACTCTGTACATCCTTATTCATTTCCTCCTGAGTGTAATTCATTAGTATTAAAATGACACGTAGCAAATGGCAAACCACAGGCCTAGATATGTCAGATGATTTGAAATCCTGATGAAATAGAACAGAAGCATTTCAACAGATATGTAAACAGAACACAACTATCCTTTATAAGTCTCCAGTTCCCTGATGGCCCAGGTCGTGCCTACCGTTTGTTGAGCTGTCTCTCGAGTTTCAAGTCCATTATAAACAAAAAGTCAATAAATGTTCTCGGTGCGTTACAGTAGCATAATAACAGCTTTATACTTGTAACGAAACAATTATGTTGTTGTTTTGTGTTTCATTAATGGCTCGTTTTGTGCATCTTACAGTTTATTAAAAACACTCTTTTGTCATTTGCTTAATAGTCAGTGTGTCTAGTATGTGGGTTTTCCATCTTTATCACAAAATTATCACATGATCTGATGAAATACATACTGGAATTTCCATAGTACCTAGGGAAATACTTAGTTTAACAGGAGAAAATTTACAAACATCCTACAGTAATAGCATTTCTTTCCATTATACCCAGAAACCAGTAGCTTCCACAGGTAAATAAAAGTCTTTTTTCCCAAAATGTCCAAAAACTTTAAGAATATTCCCTCAGGTATACAAATTCAAACAATACACTATTAAACAAAAATTTAATTTTGAAAAAATCATATTCAACTTTTGCTTACCATATATACATGTATTATTCATCGAAATATGATCAGCATTAGGGCTAAGCAATCTATGTTTAAGATATAAAATTTTAAAAGAGGCAAAACAAAGTAATGAGAACAATTTAACACCATAAACATTTGAAATAGAAAAAATGAAGGAAAGGCCAAAAAGCAACAAGAAAGTAAGACCACAGACCAAATTTTAGTATCATTTTTAACAGCTGAAGTTACTGAAACAGACTTGCTATTAGGGACAAAGATAAGGGAAACTTGAGGACAAAGAGAAGTTCTTATACAAAGGAAAACCAGAAGAACACAGATTTGTTGGAACAGCTGTCAGAAAGATCATGAAAAAATTTTCAGATCTAAGAAACTGATAATGACAAATATTTTGTCAAAAAGTGAAATAGCTTCAAAATATGCTTAACGTGAGTATATGTAGTCATTTTGCCAGGAATAAAACCCTGTTCTCACCTGTTTGGAGAGGACTGTGATGGTTTCTATTGTGTTGTACTGGTTGATGTGAAGACGGAAATATCCTGGATCTCCGTCCACCGTTCCTGTGATGAACTCTTTACCCTGGAAATAGAAAAATACAGCTAAACACGAATCTGTGATGTTCTATCAACAATACTTCGCATCAGAAAACTTCAATATTTCTTTTTCAGATGCCTATCAGTTCATGATAAACATAGATTTGCTTCAGTTACAATCATTTTCAATTAATAACACTTAATTAACAAGAAAAAAAAATTAATCCACATGATATTTTGAAATCTTGAAATCTAAATTTTTCTTCCCTTCCCCTACCCAACTTCCTTTTCAGTTTTTTCCATTAGATTTGTTTGATTGTATTTATCAATTCTTACTTTTTCATTCTCATATTGTAACTATGCTGTGATCTCTGTTACTAAGGGGTATGTACTTACATAGTCAGGCTGTGCCATCTGGTTACTAAGGGGTGTGTCTAGGCCTGGTTTAGCCACATGGAGATAATGGTAACCCCCTGCATACAACACGTTTAATAAAAAATTAATTAAGGAAATGAAACCAAGTAATTGATGCCAAAATTACAAAGACAATTATTCAGTAAAGTTCAGGAATGGCATCATGCGTGATCTCAGAAATGGATGGATCAAATGTAAAATTGTTCATTAAGCAATAACTTTTCTGTAATTTATGACTAGCAGCTTTCAAAACAGTGCATGAAAAGTTACATATCAGTAATTTTTACCTACAAACAACCCTATTTATCAGCTTATTGTCTCTTCCTGGAGATTAAGTAGCAAGACTATACACATTCATGCCCTTCTAAACAACATATGGCTCGATGTGCGACATTGAACTTGTGCTTTTTTCTACCACACAGAGATCAATAAATCAGAGAACAAACAATGGATATTTTCCAACATAGCTTTCATGAGTGTGTAACAATTTCCTGAAGTTCAGGAAGCAACAAGTTTCCGGATTCTTCAGAGTCGCCACGAATCAAAAGAATCCAAAATTGACCCTCGTTTTCAGTAAAATTGTATCAGCCTTCGACAAATGTACACCGCACAACATTTTTAAAAACTGCAGTCTGAAGGTCTACTATGATTCTGAAGACTTAATTGGTTCAGTAAACACAATCCATACACAGCAGATTGATTTACAATTTTCAGCTGTTTTTAATTCAATATGCCAAAGAACCCCTGATTAACGGTTTGTAACTTCCACGTAATATTACATCACTGTTGATTTCTTTACAGATACCACATGGTGTTTAAGCTGATTAACACTCTAACTCAAATTTCTATTGGGACTAACTGTTGTTCACGTTCCACTGGTCACTAAAATCATGTTACTTGTACATGTAGTTATTAGTCACAAACTATATTTTTTATTTAGTATCCAACAGAATATTAAAGATTTCATCAATGTACACTAGACTTTCCTATCTCAGTAAAATAAAACCTGTACAGAAAGACTATATGTACAATGTACTATCAGTAATTTAATACCTGTCAAGTATGACCACCTAAATGGTCAGTAAAATGGAACCTGTCAGGAAAGACTATCTATTCTGTCAGTCAATAAGAACCTGTCCAGAAAGGCCACCAAACCTCAGTGTCCTGTCAATGAAACAAAATCTGTCAGGAAAGACTATATGAATCAATGTATTATCAGCAAAGTTGAACCTGTCCTGAAAGGCCACCAAATCTCAGTGTCCTGTCAGTGGAACAGAATCTATCAGGAAAGACTATCTATTCTGTCAGTCAATAAGAACCTGTCCAGAAAGGCCACCAAACCTCAGTGTCCTGTCAATGAAACAAAATCTGTCAGGAAAGACTATATGAATCAATGTATTATCAGCAAAGTTGAACCTGTCCTGAAAGGCCACCAAATCTCAGTGTCCTGTCAGTGGAACAGAATCTATCAGGAAAGACTATCTATTCTGTTAGTCAAGTTGAACCTGTCCAGAAAGGCCACCAAATCTCTGTGTCCTGTCAGTGGAACAGAATCTATCAGGAAAGACTATATGAATCAATGTATTATCAGTTAAGTTGAACCTGTCCAGAAAGGCCACCAAATCTCAGTGTCCTGTCAGTGAAACAGAATCTGTCAGGGAAGACTATCTATTCTGTCAGTCAAGTAGAACCTGTCCAGAAAGGCCACCAAATCTCTGTGTCCTGTCAGTGGAACAAAAATTGTTTTCAATACTACAGATTCCTGAATTTTGCCCAAAAATGGTATCTTAGCAATCGGTCACGAAGAAAACCACATGGATTCCACTGCTCCAGTTACAATTTTGTATTCAAACTTAAAATACAGAGAAAAATATTTAAAAAGTGGAACATAAGCATCAGGTCTGATCTTCATCCTACTGTGAACATTTTCAAAATTCAAAGAAGGATGAACTTTATGTATTTCAAAGTTTTGTGAGCTCACAAACAACATTACAAGCATTAATGACTGACTATTTACTCTAAAGTAAGTGACTTACCGGGTAAAAGTCCGCCCTGGATCTTGGGGTTGTAGTAGAGTGGAATAGGTAAAGTAAGTGACTTACCGGGTAAAAGTCTACCCTGGATCTTGGGGTTGTGGTAGATTGGAATAGGAAAAGTAAGTGACTTACCGGGTAAAAGTCCACCCTGGATCTTGGGGTTGTGGTAGATTGGAATAGGAAAAGTAAGTGACTTACCAGGTAAAAGTCCACCCTGGATCTTGGGGTTGTGGTAGATTGGAATAGGAAAAGTAAGTGACTTACCGGGTAAAAGTCCACCCTGGATCTTGGGGTTGTAGTAGTGTGGAATAGGTAAAGTAAGTAACTTAACGGGTAAAAGTCCACCCTGGATCTTGGGGTTGTGGTAGATTGGAATAGGTAAAGTAAGTGACTTACCGGGTAAAAGTCCGCCCTGGATCTTGGGGTTGCGGTAGATTGGAATAAGATTGAGAGCTTCCTCTGGTGGGGCCGATTGTGGTTCCATTGTGGGGTCAAATAAGCGCAACATTTCTGTGGCCAACTGTGAAAATAAATGATATAAAGAATAACTTTAATTTTTTGGTTTCATCGTAATTAACACAGATTGTGTTGCGGTTTTCAATAACCTGTTAAAGGAAAGGGAAAAAATCTTCAAAGAGACATCATGGAATAATCGACAAATTTTCAAAAAATTAGAAGAGATTATTTGTGTAAATCACTACATATATTGATACTGTATATATAAAGATATCAATGTCCAACTGGTCTTGTCATTGATGAAATATTTAAACAAAACAAATTCTAGAATTTTGACCAATATGCACTGTAACAATCTGACCACGGAAATCTTTTCCAGTCACATCACAAGGAAAACAATTTTACAGAGACATGTGATTATAGGATTTTCTTTTAATTCATTTCTGCGAATGTTTTTCTATTTTTTTTCAGAGACAAATCAAAACAAAAGTGAATTCTGTGTAACATTTGAATAAGAACTTCCACTTGTAAAAAATCATACCAAGAAATTCTGAAATTTGACTCTAAAAAGGAAAATCTAAATAAAGTGTGAATATAATGAGAATTTCAGTCACAATACAAAAGAAACCATTTTTTGTATATATCTATCTTATGTAGATGTACCTGTTTTCATATTTCATGCTCGATTTTATGCTTCAAAGAGAAAAAATATGAAAATTACCCTAATGAAAAAATAATGTTATATCATGAATATATTTTTTTCTCTCAAATTCTGAACAGAGAGTGATAATTTCTTTTCCAACACCAAAATGACAGATAGACAGACAAATACATAATAAATGTACATGTATATAAATGCAATATTTGAAGCATTAAATTAATAACTTGCAACTTTTGTGAAATATCAGGCATATAGAATGACAGTTGTGTTGAAGTACAATATTACAATACCCAACATGCACCAATGCAATACTGATATAATTTTGTGAATTTTTTTTAAATATACAACACCAATTGACAAGTTTAAAGTGACTGATGATTAACTTGTAGTAGGAGAAAGCATGATGGTCTGCTAAATTGATAAAAACTTCTCTTTTCACTGTTGACAAGTAAAAAAAATTAATACCCTTAATACAGTTTACATCAAATAATACAGTTTACATCATATAAAGATAAGAAAAAAAAAATAGGGACAATACTTTAATGAACTTTTACGAAAATCTAAGAAAGGAATTAGAAGCAGACATGAAAATTATCTGTTTCATGCTTTGAACTTGATTAAGAGCTAAGACAACTGCAGACAGCCCCAGATTTTGACATTGGTGCAAAATATATACTCTTCCTACCTGTTTGGCTATCTGTGAAAATGATAACATAAACTGGATAGAATTAAGGGTATAAGCCATCTTACATACATTGTATCATTATAATGTGACGTCAAAGTAAAGAGTAATAATTTACATAAAAGTTAAGGGTATATGCATGGTATACATGTAAGAGTTATCTCCCTTACATAACTCACCAATTTCTATGTCACTCTCAGAAGTTCTAAATCAATGTCCTGTTGTTATTCATAGATGAGCAGATAACGTACCATCAAAACTTTCAAACACATTATTTTGCAAGTTTTTTTATAGAAAATCTCCTCGAAATTAAAACCTTGTCAGAATCAGGTAGTATGAAATGAAAACCTTGTCAGAATCAGGTAGTATGAAATGAAAACCTTGTCAGAATCAGGTAGTATGTAATGAAAACCTTGTCAGAATCAGGTAGTATGCAATGTTTTATCTGTCCTCAAGAGCAAGAATCGATCAGAGAGGAAACATTGTTGCTTCTTCATCCTCATTAAACAGGAGACAGACTGTATTGACCAGTGTGTCATGTTAATAAACACATAAGAAAGGTTTACTAATGAACCCCTTGTGTAGCAGTAGAATCTGGATCATTTACGGTATGTTTTGTAGCCTGATATATCTGAGCTAACTGACTAGGAATTCAGTTTTAATCTGCTGACAGAAATTTGATCATGACAATGCTCATCTAAATGACCATTTTGATTTTAATTTTGATTCCTCGACACCCTCCCCCCCCCCCTCAACCCCAACTGCTGTACTGCAGTAATTATCACTGGACAATGACAGATTGTCTCCCTGGGATTAAAGGACTTTTTTAGTACAAACACCTATCTCTGTCCTGATGAACCAAAAATTCTAAATTTCTGATAACACTATTCTAAACTTCAAAAATGTTACATGTAATATGTTAAACATTATTCAGTTCTGACAGTTTCAAATTCTTCCGTTCAATGCTGTATTAATTTTGTGAAGAGTATTGTCAGGGGGATTAACTCATCTTGAACAAAGTTTTAAAATTTAATATTTTTCAAATACATGCACCTCAATGTCGATTTGTAAGTGATTGAAACAAACCAACAAATTTCTGGGATGAGTAAAGATTGTAGACCAGTAGTGTGCATACATTAATGTGTTATAAGCGATTACTTTATGTTTTTGTTACATTTTTTAAGGCTTATTATTTTCATTTTAGCTGAACCTGTATTAAGATACCTGTATTAAGATACCTGTATTAAGATACCTGTATTAAGATACCTGTATTAAGATACCCTTTTTCCTTTATTTAAGATAAACCTCTACAATGCAACCACCTGCAATAATAGACCACCTCACAGAACTCATATCATCTATCTTCAAATACATATAATAAATACTGGTCTCAAGTCTTATGTCATCTCACTTGAAAACTATGATAGGATTTGAAAATAAACTTTTATGCCACTCAGATGAGCACTATCATGCTAGGAATATATCTGCACCACTAACCATTCTACATACTATTAAACGGTTTCTTGGTACCTGGCTGTTAGCAGGCAGTAGTCATGCTGTTTACGAATTTGTAGCATATTAAAACAAGCAATGAATATCAGTGGAAATCCAATGTTTTCTCCTGTGCATGGGACTGTGTACTTTTTCCTACTGCTAAGTGTACTACCTAGATGGCAGTAGTTCATCTATAGAGCATCAGCTATTTGACCACAAACATGAAGATCTGAGGTGTGTGGTTTAATCCCTACAAGATTCTGTGCTGTTGTGGAATGTCCTTAGCGAGACACTTTTACCCAATCTGCTTTGAATAGCTTCTGGTTTGCCTCCTGTATGTTGTTCAGTGATAAACCACCAGGTTCTCAAAGAACCTGCCACGAAATTATACTGAACAGAATACTACCTATGTATGCACTCTTATTCCTTATTCCAAGAGATCACCATAAATTCATATCCATTACTGTAATCAGATTTGGACAAAGAGGAATTTCGTAATCAAAAACAATTGTACCTTCAAAACAACAAGCGGTAATGATGTGCAATGAAGTTTTCCAGAACAAAAAATGGAATCACGAGCTTGACTAGAGTCTGAGCCTTTTTATCAGTGTGATTGATTGACTATCAGTAAATATACACAGAGTAATGATGGGAATGATAGAAAGTATATACGGTACATACAAAAATATGTTTAAACATCCCATCATTAAGACAAGTGTCCATTGATATGTAACTGAGGTCAGTGACTTCATTCTGGGTCCAACACCAAACTGACTGATTACTCTCCTGTGAGTCAAACATGGGGCCCCGACAGATTTTTTTGCTGTGAGTTAAACACAAGACAGGTCTGAGAGTAATTCTTGACGAGTCAGTGAAAGTGACAAGGTCCAAGTTGTGAGAGACTGATTTGGTGACAAACCATATACTGTAAAATATCCAATTTTTGTGAGGCAAAACTTTTGTGGTTGTTCAAAAAATAAATATTTTGTGGACACTAGTTTTCGAGGATAAATATAACTCAATAAATCTCCTTATGCCGTGTTTCAACAGTTTGTATATAGATAAACTTGTGGAATAAAAGTAACCACGAAATTAACAAAAATAAATCCTCATGAAAATTAATGGTTTTACAAAATTATTTTCTTGGTATTTTTCCAGAAATAATGTCAATATCAGGATACAAAAAGAATCTTAAGCAAATAATCGGTGTGTACGTAACTGCATTGGTGACATATGTTCAGTTCGATTCATCACATTGGTATGCTTTTATTTGTACAATCTGGGGTCATGTTCCAATATAAATTCAAAATATACTTCTTAATTCTCATTTAATATTTTAGTTACCTTGACAAAATATTTAGATCAAACATAGATTTGGTATCATCAAAAAAAGAAATTAATTAATCTCTTTTGATATTGGATCTTGAAATGACCTTATGAAGGAAATAATTTAGTTTATCTAGATATAGCTGATAACATCTTTTGAAGATCAAAAAAAAGTCCAAAGAAATATTCAGTACAGAATAATACCTTTTCAAAACAAATTACAGATGAAAAAAAGAAAAATGTCACAGATGATGCTGTTTACAAATAATAACAGGTATGATTTTATGTAAACAGAATCATATTATTACTGAAATGATCAATAAATTATTCACATGATCATGCTAATCAGTGATTGATCTCCCAAAAATTTGTATCCAAACAACTTTATCCCAAGTAACCATTATCTTGTCTCTTTCTGTTCCAAGTAGATCACAACTAAGTTCGTTAATTACCTGATTTAGAGCGGAGTTAGACATCTTTATTTTCAACATTAATTTGTATAGAACTTGTCTTTAAAACACTGAATGAATGAACATTGGATTAGAGGTGGGCAGATTAACGACACTCGTCACTCGATCCTATAGGTAAACCAGCTGTAGGTAGTTGATAACCAGACAGCTCCAAGTTTAAGGATTTCTCTTGAGGCCAGATGGCAGCAGTAGTATTCCAGGATCGGGGCGTATATTTGATTGACAGGTAAGTATATATACCTCGGTATGTAATGACCCGGCATATCCTCAGGTCAGCTGATAGGTATGACATCATATGCTACCTGGCATTTAACAACATATATTCATAAGTTCACCATCCTCGGTATACAACTCCACAGCTTTACAGGTTACACAGACTTAAATCAATGACTGAAATGCAGAAACCAGCTGGAAACTATCACTCCAACTAA